GATATTCAGTACTTTACCCATAAATATAGCGTACCTTTTAAACATTTGTGAATGTGTGTGCTTTAAAAAGATTTTCTGCAAATTCACGGATAAGTTAACACTTGTGCGTCTCACGGGAACATATCAAGTCGTAAAATAACCCCAATAGAAAAACTACTTTTGTGGCACGATTTGAACCAGAATCATTAAGCTCAGCTAAATTTGGTCAGATGCTGCCATTGTGGTACACTTACTGAGGATCGAACACATAACACGCGCGAAGTAGCCATCACTTTGTTAAATCTTTGCAATAAATCCTTCTCATATCTTCTAGAATTAATTTCAACACGTTCTTTATACTTTATCAATAAGGTAAAATACTATAGCTCCCCCATATATAATAATATATAACACTGAGAAATGTCCATTTAGGACTCCTCCAGTAAGTTCGTAACGATAATATTTAATTTAAAAAAAAAACAAAAAACTTTATAACTATTATCCTATTATAATTGTGCTTGTCATTTCCTTCGTTAGTTCGCACGACCGTTACGTCCTGCCAATACGTCATAAATAATGGACTATTCCGTTTTGATCATGTTCATAGAGGGGGGAAGACACTGTCTGTTTTCAGTGAGAAAATGGATGAAAAAAACTTGTTTAACCCTAGGATGGCCAGCGCCTTTGACATCTTTATTTACATTACGCCGTGAAGCAGCCATCTTAATATATTCAATATTCAAGCCAGGAATAACAAGTCTGAAAAGAAATTCACAAATATTAGTATACCTCATACTGAAAGAAAGTGATTTTATATAATATAAATTATGTGTGTGTGTGTGTGGATAGATAGGGGACATAAACACAATTATTATTGCTTGTGAGAAATGTTTCAATTCATTTACCCTATAAATAGCCTAGGTGTCAAAAAACGACACCTCGGCCATTCAAGGTAAAACCTCAAATATCAGCTATTCCACTGAATATTTTTTAAAGAATTAAGTCTGTTAAGCATCTTTGCTAAAATTCAATAATTGTCCATAAGCCTCAGCATCGAACCAAAACTTGTTATTCCATAGTAATTTGTTGAAAATTTGACGATGTCGAAAACGACACCTCGGCCATCCTAGTGTTAACGTCTGTTTAAGTGAGGTGGAAAAGTTGACAATTTCAACTTTTTCATTTGTGTACCCACTTACTTCTGAAAGTAACGACCAGCATATTTATGATTGTTATTGCAATATTTTTTTTTAAATTGTTAAGCTCGAATATTTAACGATGCGATAGAGGAATTTCGACAATTTTTTTGTCGTAGCCATGAGCCTATTCCATCATTGACTGAAGAATTAAGATTCATCAGATTATTAAAATAGGAAAACCGTGACTATTTCACAGGTTAAAACTAGTTTGTTGTACTGCCCTTGTAAATATTAAAGTTAAAGAATCTACGAATACTTGTATCCTTCTTAAAAACCATTCTCTTCGTTTCATATCAGTTCGCGTTCCTCGATAGCCGGTGTATCTCTTTCTTGTCGCACATCTAGTACGACAATAAGATCTTCATCAATTTCGACGCTGAGGTTATAATACTTTAATTTAAAAACAACTTTGTTGCTATAAATTCTAATTTTTAAAAGGCGTTACTTGTTCAACATCTCCCCCACGCACAAAAATTTCCTGTCACCAAAATAAGACCGATCCATCATATTCCTTCGTCGTAAGGAACTTTTTGAATGGCCACTCGTGTGTGGTGAACACTTCTGATGTGGAAATGATAATTTAATGGAGAGTAATAGGATAAATATTTCTGAAACTATAGATATTGTCGCGCGTGACCGGGGTATGGAAGGCGTGGTCTTCCTTAGCTGTCCTAGTTAATCAGATTCGCGACCTAGTCATTCATTACAATTTTCTCGTTCACCAAAAGAACATATCCATCACCTCTCGATCCTGCATAACACCAAAATACTGGATATTCACAGGGGGGACCCCCCCCCACAAAAAAAAAAACATACGAGATAAAAATCTGATTAGACCAAAATTTTATTTTATTTTATTTTATTTTTTTTTTTTTTTTTTTTACACAAAAATATATAAAAATTTCATTTAATGGCGAATAATAGTAATATTCGAAATTTGCTGTCAAAATAATTATATTTATTTTAGTTTTATTTCTGTGCGCTGAATCCTTTTAGGACGTGGGCGATCATGGCTCACCAGTTTGTCTTTCCTATATCTCCTAATCCCTGTTCTGCTGATCGTTTACACAAGCTTTTTAGGTGGGTTACGCGTTGCTTTCCTCTGCCACTCTTCCCATCACTATGTCAGGCCAAGTGCTCTTTCCTCATTATGTACCCTACGAACATTAATGAGTAGACCTAGTATTAATTAAATTTAGGAGAAAATGTAATTACCCAAAATGCTTTGACTTAAATTAGAAATGTCAGGAAGACACGTGTAGATATGTAACGGTATGTCGACCTGCCCATTGTTCTCAAAGGTTTTTAAGTGACTTGTTCTTTAAGCGTCGAACGGTGTACGACTAATTAATTCGACTCTTAATAGGAACAGATGTTCTTTACTTAAAAAAAAAAAATGCTCACACATTTGTTCTTCATAGAAATTCATACTAACGTTTCTCTGTAGTTATATGATTACGCACACAATTATAGGTCACTTCTTATCCTCCCCCCACCCAAAAATGACCTTTGCCCGTTAACCACCACCCTAATTTTTTTTTTTTTTTAATGACTGCGCTGTAGGAAAAGTACACTTTATAACCTACGTGAATCTGATTGGTCCTTTCGTATTAAGTAGGTCATTGGGGCATTCCCATTGGATTAGATACGCTGTATGTTGCTCATCATTAGTTTTTGAAATCTTTTTTTTTTTTTCTCAACCATCCGACCTCAATTTTATTTATTTTTTAAATTTGAGATATTGTTAAAATAATGAATCGTCTTATGTCGAAAGAAAAAATTTTTTTTTTTTTTGTTAACCAAATTTGACAATTATGCAATAAAATATTTTGGACGTAGGTACTGTCAAGTGTGTGCAAAGGTTTGCAGTTGTATAAATTCAGTTTAAAAGTTCTAGTTTAAAATAAAATACACTGCTAACTTTACCAGACATCTAATTTTTTTTTTTTTTTTTTTTTTTTTGTATGGTGGTCTATTTGATATTGCCCTTCCACTTACCTAGCAACGATTGCTGAACTATTTAGATTCTAACAGGTTTTCTATTCCTACCTTAAGGAGATGATGAAATTGAACATGGAACAAACTGTGCTAGTGATAATTTTGTAGCCCACAGCACTACGTAACAAAACCAAAATATTAAGCAAAGAACTCTTAATCCTTTTCAGAATAAGACTGTCATATGAATGTCATGTATGATGTCCAACTCGTTCAGCTATGACTTACGGCCGTATCACATTGAAACACCGGCTCCCGTAAGATTATTACCAAGATGACTGACTGCTTAGGAATACCGGGTGGTGTAATGGATAATAACCCGGAATTGTTAATCTGAGAGAGTTCCAATTACAGTTGGTTTCGTTATATTCGCAAATATCTTTGGGAAAGGTATGAATCCACATCTTCTCCCCTCCCCAGATATGGGTTAATTAGTAAGACGTATCACTAAACCGTTATTAAAAAAAACAAAAAAAAAACATTACAATATGTTTTCTGGCTTTACATAACCTTCAAAATGTTGATACACCGTAAAAAAAATAAATAAATCTATCAAATTAGTCGTTCGGCTACATGCAACCGTTTTCTCAAATCCAGGATTAAAAATAGCTTCAAGCTAAATGAATTCTTTTCAAGATGACAACCCTTCATTAGATTTTATAAACTGGCATTACAGAATCATAAAGCACTTTATCAAATAAAAACATTACTTGAAGACTGCCAACAGCGGAAACTACTAAAATGGATAGCAGATAATTAAAAAGGAAAGTAATGATATAATGGAGATGTTGACCTTCTACATAACTTAAATGGGTTAGGAAGGTAACTTCCATCCTCTGACAATGTTATTACACTAAAAGTAGGAACGCGGTACACACTGATTCAAGGGGATTTACACGTTCAGTGTTACATACACACACACCATTAATATGATACCACTCAAAAACACCTCGAAATACATAAAATAAAAATATTCGCAAATATTGAAATGTTGCGATTGTAACAAAGATGAGGACAGTAGTCCGAACAATGTAAATAGTTACAATACCTCATCTCATAAATATAGACAGATGATAATAAAAAAAGTTATTTTAAGGCTATCAGAATTTCCAACCCTGAAATACTCAACGGATAACTAAAGCTAAATTCATTTAATCAAATGTCCAATGGACTGTTCACTAACCGACTCCATAGTTTCGCGTAAGACGCTCCTCAGGGTCAAATGGTATGCTAAATCTATAAAATTACCAAATATCATATTTCTACTCCAAAACGGACGTTAATCGTTGACTTTAAATTTGAAATACGTTAAGAACGCGTTAACATTTAAATATTTAGAAACAGCCAAATTATTTATATTAAAAAATCCAGGAACACTCACAATACAGTGTGGGTTCTAGTTTAACTTTTCGGTATAGCCTAAACATTTGCAAATTAATGCGTAGGGTAATTTTTTTTTTTCTTTTCTTTCTTTTTTTTAAGCAGTATTTTCGGGTACTGAAGCGACAAATGCAGTAACTGATAGGGAAGGATTTTATCCCTAAATGAAAATTCGAAACACATTAGAATAAATTATGTAACTGTATATTATAGGCCGTTTTCGTGTTTCACTTATCAGCATATGGATTTATAAAATTTCATGCAAGACGCTGAATTTTTAATCAGATCATTTTTAAGAAAATTTTGTAGAAATGCACTTTTTTGAGTTAATTTTTTTTTTTTTTTTTTTAGATAGTTCTAAATAAGTTATGGAAGAATACAGACAAGGCTGGTGCGAGGGTTTCTTGCCGCCCCTAATCTACGATACGGAGCTCTCCACTCTACTAGATCTCAATTTTCATAAGGTAATATTCATATAAAATACAAACTTTATTATAACCAAATTCTGTACAATAATGGATAATATGCAATATAAGTGAACAATTTAACTAAAATTTGAAAAAAAAAAAATACAATGTATCTAAATACAAATTAGAGACGTGTCATAATAAATCATTCCATCTTAAATAAATCAACAATGTTTGGCGGCAATTTCTAACGTCAACTTGAGATTTTTTTTAATAATTTTAAGGCATTCAAAATTATGAATAAAAACAAGTGAATTTTTTTTATTTTTTTATTTTATTTTTTTTTTTTCTCTTCGAGACTAAGCATGGGCAAAACAAATTCACATAAAAATATTAAGACCTCAGAATGACGTCAAAATCCGAAAATGTTTCATCCTTTAATAGTCACTTGTGCTTCGTTTAATTTGTAACATATATAAATGTAGATAGATGAAAGTAAATGCTAAGATAGCGAGGGTCTGGCAATCAGGCGTGTACGCGCCACCCCTGCAGACAACTTACCTCAACTATTTTTCTGGACTCTGTTTTAGAAAATATTTTTTATGCTAAAATAGACTAGTTTGATAGAAGATAGTCAAATTTGTAGTTTTTAGATAGACAGTAGAACTGACTCTTTTTTTATCCAATATTTAAGTTGAATGTTAAAAGGGAAAAAAAACAAAAAAAACTTTTAAGATATTGGCACAATGAAGTCTTGGACAAAAAAATATTAGAATTGAAAATTTAATCTTTTGTCGACTAAGATAGAAATGAACGATTTAAGTGTTACTACGTTCATTCTCAATCTGGCATTTATAGATCGCGACTTCTCTCAGAGAGATGAAATTTAAATTTTTATTATTGCATTATTCCAAAATTTTAACACATCAGCAGATAAGCTATTAATGTCAAGAACTGAGCACAAATAGTTATTCATTAAAAAATTAGTTAATGTATAATATTATCCATAACTACATATACAAGATTGTCGTACTTGATAAAAAAAAAAAAAATAAAAAAAATCTTTTTTTTTTTTCCCTCCAAGTTAAAGATGTTTATAACTTGGATATAATTTTGTGAATAATCGAAATTAATTGCGAAATCCAGCGAAAGTCACTCATGAAATTAAAAATAATTGTTTGTACGGAAAGTAAGGGCCAACGCATATCAATTTGGCGGCAGAAGAATTATCGTTGAACTTTTTTTCAAAAAGGTAAGCTTAAATATTAATGCAATACTTGCATGCAGTGATCAGTTTTGAATTCTTCAGCAGTATGCCTTCTTCGCAAAAAGAAATCTCCGCCAACAGAGGACCAAATTGCAATCAAGAGCCAAGGCTGCAGCGATGAAAAAGTCCCGTGCAAATAAAACCCCCAGACCAAACGGCAGGCAGGAGAGCTTCCAATACTGAGACTATGCAAAGGCTTTAGGGGCTCGCAAACTGCTGAACAAGCCGAAGCCCCAATCAAAAGAACTCCGCAGGAATAGACTTAAATGCCGCCCGATAGAGACAGCTTTTAAACTAGTTAGATTGGGGACGTCATAAGATTTCAAGTGTTTTATATATATATATATATATATATATATATTTGTGCAGCAATCCCTCTTTTATACAAGTTTCATTAAAAATGACCGACAAGATACCTGCGATTAAGATTCTTAACCGTTTTTTCTTGTGTTTTTATAAGTTTTCTTTTTAGGATATAAAATGTGTAAGAAGTGTCTGAATTTTCTATATATCGGAGCGCTTTTGGCTATTCTACCTATTAACAAGGATGTTTTTTCTTTAAATTTTTATTTTTAGCTTCATGTGGAGATGTATACATATGTCAATATTTCAAGAGATATATTTTCTCTCTCTCTTATATATAATATATATATATATATATATATATATACACACAGACAAGGAAATGTTCGGCCATATACGCTTTATCCTTCCGTGTATACTGTAGTGTAAATTGAGTCTACAACCAAATTAATTCTCCTTAAGACAAAACAAGTAAGTATGCTAAAGACCTCCCCACCATTTGGCAATCACTGTTCCAGCTTTGAATTATACGGCCATACAACCCCCCCACACACACCTAAAAAAAAAATTGTAGAATTATATAGCACATTGGCCAAAATTTAGTATTTAAAGATCAATTGCGATTGTTCCTCTAGTGGAATTATATTTTAAGACTTTTGATACCAGACGAACATTAATTGTATTCCAACACGTTGTGTAAGCACATGCTGTATTTTAGTCTTTTCCGAGTATATTATCGATAAAACAAAAATAAATGCCCGTCTAGTATATATTATAAAAAAAAAAAAATTCTTAGTATGTTCTACTAATGGAAGATACAGGCATTACAAATATAAAAAAAAAAAAAATTGACAATTACTGACACAAACAAGACGTTTTAATGAGCATTACCTGATGTTGGGTATTTTTAATTTTTATATTTTACTTGGGATAAATACTTCATGTATTGTGGAGAGACATTGTTGGATTATCCTTTAGGCTAATTTCGACTGCAATCTAGTTACCTTCAAGCTTTTATAAAGCAATGATTTTAATTTTCTCGCTGCTTAGCTTCTAAATCGTTTCCTAAACTATCGATGACAGTCCTATTTCCAGGAAGCATAGCAACGAAACGAATGTTTTAGTCTGTCATCATTTCAAGTAGTAACATTTTTGATTTTTAGTTCAGAATGTTGAAATTAGAAATTTTTATAAAGCAGTGATTTTTAATTTTCTGGCTGTTATAACTTCTAAATAGTTTCACAAACTGAAATGATAGTGATATGGCAAATTCATATTTATTTTGATTGTTTTATTGCTATAATCAGTTATAATTTTAATTTTATTTTTACTACCGTTGTTGAAATGTACTAAGTTTTGACAAACAAGACAGCTATTCTACAGGGTGGTCCGAAAGTCTTCTCGTGTCGTCAGTCATCTAAAATAGGAAATTATATTATGTAAGGGTAACAAGACTTTCGGACCACTTTAAAAAAAAAAAAAAAAAAATTTGCAGTAAGTTTATTTCAAACTATGTGAATGTCGCTAAATACGTTTTTTATATATATATATATATATATATATATATATATATATATATATTCAAGTAAGATGAACGACGTATAATTTATTTAGCCTATGGTCCACAAAAGGTCATAATCCGGCTCTGTGGAGAGTGTGAAATTTTAATTTCGTTCGTTCCAGAACTTTGTTTAAATCAGTGTAAGTTAATTATTTCGCATGGACTAATTAAAACTGTTACATATATGCAGTCTTTAGTCATCAACTATTATCAGCAAAACTGGAAAAAATTTGCTTCTAATATTTAACTCTTTGGATTTGATTTTTTTTTTTTTTTTTTTTTGCCGTGTCGCTTCGGGGCGTAAGAATTTATCATATCATTCTTCATAAATACCTTTTTATTATCTGGGAATTAGTCCTTTCTTGGGAAAGACAAAGTTTTCCTTATTTTGCCACTCTGTCTAACCTATAGCGGGGATAGGGAGGAGGAGGAGGAACCATGCTCTTTTCCCAAGAGTATTTATGCAAAAGTCGACACTACAGGCTAACGCGGAATTTGAACTCTGCTCGTTGATTCCACTTTTCAATGTTTTCGCCACGATGGTAGATATTTTTTTTTTTCCTTCCTTTTTAGTGAAACGAAAGAAATCTGGTATATTGAGAGACTTTATCGCAATGCCACGTCTCTTCGGGATGTAGGCGATCATTACTCTCCCCCGACCACATCTTTAGTATCTGTGAATTATCATTGGAGGGGAAAGTAGTTTTCTGTTGCCTTTTATTTTGAGTTCAGCTTTCCTTCTCTTAGAACGGTTGTTAAAGATTTTAGAACCCATAATCCACAGCTAGAGGGAGAAGAGACTGGTTCATGCCTGCCTTTCTCGAGACCCTTTGTACGAAAAGGAACTGAGCCCGAATTCTGAGCCTATTCTACTTTTTTTTCTTTTTTTTTTTTGCCATGTATCCGTATACTACTACAAACTATATAAGTTTAAGTTAACTTCGTTTTACGAGATTTCAGAAGACGAACCTATTTTCCTTTTTGCTCTCGACAAGAAATTAAAGATCGGAATCCAAAAGGATAAGACAAAGAACAAATAACAAACGTATATCAACTTATCTTTATTTTTATTAAAGCTTCGTCAAAGATTGAGAGAAAACAGACAAAAAAGGCAGAAACTTAGTATTTTCAATTTTGTTTGGGTCAATTTTTATAAGATTTTTGTGTCGAGTTATATCGACAAAGAACCGCAGATTTTTTACAAATAATCGCTATAAAAAGAATTTTTATTTATTTTATTGATAGCTATGATGAACCTCAAGAAAAAAATGTCCAGCTTTTAGTTTGATATTCTGTTTAGTTCTGTTTTAACGTTAATAAATTTTTTAAGACCATAATAATTGGACAGATTTCATATATGAAATACGAAATATTTCCTCGCGATCTTTTTACATTTATTTTACTAATGTTAGTTAGGATCAGCCATATTTTTTTTCTTTCACTACTTGTGGGTGGCGTTCCAGGATTCCCAAAGAGATAAATCCGTATTGTTTTGTTCTCTTCCTTCCCCGCTCACCATTAGCTTGTAATCCCCTTTTACTGTTAGGGGAAGAAAAACAAAATCATATACCCCTAAAACGAGTCTTGTTTAATCTAAGTCTCTTCTGCCCTTCGCCTTTTTCTTCCTGCTCCCAGCCCAAGCCAACTCTATCGGTGAATGAATGAAAGGCGGAATAAATAAATAAATGAATGAATGAATGAATGAATGACCCCGTTCCTTCGTTTTCAATTTTGACGGTAGATTGAGGATGGTATCCACCCCCCCCTTCAAATTACGCGATTTTTAACATCTTTTTTTTTTTTTAAATGAAAATAAAAGAACCTTTTTATTGTAAGAAACAATCAAATCTTTTTCTACAGGACAGTCAACAGCGGGGGTGGGAACGCGCGCGCACACACACACACACACACACACACACACTAAAACTGTTAATGGTATTAGTAGAAACGCAATGAGGTAGTCTTGCGTGCGGAGGTGTGCACAGATTGTGTGTGTGATTCATATAATTTAAAGTTGTCACGCCCTATACTGCATGGACAGTAAATACAAAGGGAGGGGCCCTTTATCCTTTTTTTTCTTTCTTTTCTTCCACTTTAAAAAAAAAAAAAAAAAAAATTATTTCATTCATCACTACCGCGGAAGGAAAAAGGGCGGGCCAGGTATAGTCGATATCTTTTCCTTTCCGACTGTTATCTGTTAGAACAAGCATTTTTTCTCCCCCTTAAATGTCGAACCGGAAATACAGAAAGCATTCAAGCTAAAATTCCACTTCGGGCGTCGTCGCCGTAGTAGTAGTAAGTATATTATTATTGTATATACTAGCGTTCTCACGTTCAAATCAGGTCGGTCGCCAGTATGTTTTGAGGGGGGTGTGTGGAGGATTGGGGGTGGTTTGAAAGTGTTTTTAAGCTAATGCACGTGAATTCTAACGCTACGATTGGGGGGGGGATGTTACTAAAAAGTCACCAATATTTAGAGTACTTAAAACGATTACTTGGTTACTTATTTTAGTGCATCATTTTACTTACAATCATTGGCAGGTGACGCAAACAATAATCAGGGCATTAAATAAATTTGCTGTAAATAATCAAGTGTACGTTAAGTTTATTATAGCCATCTGTCACTTAAACTTTATTACCAACCAAAACTTTTTTTTTTTTTTTTATACAAAACTAAGTAACGAAGTAATTGAAATAAGTGTTGCACAAAAAATATTTTACAATTTTTTTTTTTTTTTTTATTTGACTGATAAGTAAGAATTAGCACACGAAATTATCATTTTTAGTCTGGTTCAAATTGTATTATATATTTATTTCAGGTGCCACTCCCACCTCAACTGCATACCAATATATAGTAACTTTATAAAAACTAACAGTATCGATCAGTGTGTGTGTGTATATATATATATATATATATATATATATATATATATACAAGTATGCAGAAAATAGAAAAAGAACACGTGGGGTGCATAATCCGGGGTTCCTTAGTATTTTTGTTTTTATTTTTAAGACAGTGCTCCATACAGAAGTAGAGCTTCCTTCATATTTTTAAACAAAAAATATATATAACTGTTTTCTCTCCAGATAATTTAAAATTCTTTCGCCGGTAAAAAAAATTACAAAAATAAGTGAATCATAGAAAAAAAAAAAAAACTATTTTATCGTTATTATTACTGCAAAGACTTGCTGAAATCGGTAACTATCTTTTAAACATTTTAGAAATCGAATTTTTCTTCAGTAGAACTACCGTGGAATCTTTTTCAGAAATAGTTTAATGAATCTCTAAAAGTTAGCAAAGTATTTTAATTTAAATGTGTTTTTTTTTACCTACCGTTTTTTTAAAATACTTTTTAAATACATAAATTCAGGCATAGCTTGTACTAGAAAAATCTTTACTGATTTATATTTTTAAACAAAAACAAAACGCTCATAATCTTGCTAAATTCATTTTTAAAGGTTACTAAAATCAATGAATCTTTAGTTTAGATTCATAATTTTTTTTTTCTCTTTTTATGTGTGTGTGTGTGTGAAAATTAGGATCGGATATTTTTTAAGACTAGCATTCCAAGCACAACAAAGTCTGTGTTCCCACTGGTCGCTATTGAAAAATGTCTAAAACCGTAACGTTTACTTTAAAGTAAACCATTTATCAAGCACCGCCCATCCTTCTCCCTCGCTATTGGGCCAGCTTTATTCGTGAGGGAGCCTATTCCGTTTTCTCATTTGACGAGAGACACTGAAAGAAAAATGGAGAGGGGGGCGGATAATGAATTAACAGAAAATAGCGATGTTAGTTGATTAATTCGCAAGGGCAAAGGGGATTCATTAAGAAAGACTCGTGTTGCTTAGAGATAATAGGGGGCGATTGGGAGATGGGCGTTGACCGAGGTGACCCACCTCTTTCTAAGCTTTCAAGTACCTGCGAATGACTGACGGTCGTGTTTATTATTATTATTATTATAGCTTAATGGAAATATAAAACTTGATAAAAAATAAATCAAATTTTTTAAGAAAAAAAAAAGATCGTTTACTTTGAAAATAATTCTTTCTATTAAAAACGAATGTATTTCGGAAAATGACTCCACAAGGTGGGTGGATCAATAAGTTCCTAACTTATAGGATAAATATTCTTGTTAAATGTTCAGTATGATGAATATATGCCCATCAATTAAATATATCACTAAGTAATTATCGTGACGGTAAAAAAAAGTGTAAAATTAGGTATTGCCAAAAATACGTGCGCTTTTGCCAAAGATGGCAGCTAAAAAAAAAAAAACAGTGCCTTCTATTTAAAAAAAATTAATCGATTTAAAAGAAAAATTTTCAGCACTTGATTCATTAATGAATGATTTTTAGGTAATTTTTATTAGAAAATTGGAAATATGTTTTTTTTTTTTTTTTTTTTTGTCAGTCATCCGCCCCCATTCGTGAACACTTAAAATTAGGTTGGGGGTGGTGACTACCAATATTTTTATTTTCTATAGTTTTCTAAAGAAATTCCCGATGATAAAAAGATTTATACAATATTAACTTAGAACATCCTGAAAATTTGTCCCGAAATCTTACAAAAATAATTAAACTCTAAAAAAAAAAAAAAAAAAAAATTTGGAGAGTTGATGGTTGCATAATTTAATAAAACGCATATTATTTATTTTATTTTATTTTTATTTTATTTTTATTTTTTTTTATTTTTTTTTTTTGTCTTTTATTTTTCAGATTTGGCAAATGGGGAGATCTAAAATTAATTTAAAAAAAAAATTTTTTAAATTAAATTAGTTGTAAATTTTTCAGTGTTGTTTAGAAATTCTTCCGGTTAATATTTTTTTATTTTTATTTTTATTTTTTAATAAAAATGCATTCGAAGTATTTGGTGGTGTGGAAGTAAAGTTTAAGGACATTTTCGCATAAGAAATATTAAATTTTATTCCCCCCACACCGAAAATCAGTTACCCCTTCCCATCCTTCCCTGAAAATGATGTGAACTAGTTTTAGTATGCAGATTTTTACTCGCGGCCCCTCCTGGCTTAAAAGGCCAGCTCCATCATTCAAAACACTCTGACGACGGGCCTAGTAGCGAGCAGTAAGTGAAATGTCCCTCGACCACACAGTGCCTAGTCTATATTCGCCGTTCCTAATTTATTCAATCACTGTTTTCCTAAGTAGACATTTTGTAATCGTTAGAAATATATTTTTTAAAGTATTTGACAAAATACAATCAAATTAAGGCTTCATAAACTAGATGTGTAAAATTTCCTTTTTAAATTATCGCAAAAAAAGATGTTTGCGTCATGCAAAGTTTTTCTTTATTATCATCGCTAAAGGTCTCGTTTTTAAATTATTTTATAGACTCTATAATTAAACCTGACTATTAAATCTATAAAATTTAACTAAATGTTTCATTTAAAGAAAAAAATGATTTTTCAATAATTTCCTCTTTATAACTGATGTTTTAAATGTTAAACGATTTTCAAATTGACTAAAATTAAATTCTTTTAAATAACATTTATATTTTTATTTTTTTCAGACTCTCGCACTATCCACATTTTGGCATCGGACCTATAAAAAAAAAATCAAACATTAATCATCGTTGTCAAAGGTAAGAAAAACTCTTACGTATATAAGATTAAAAGCATTTCATATTGCTTGATAGAGCCAACCAAATAATGACGTCATCAACAGATTTTACGTTTAGCCAATAGGATTGTACCTTTCTCACTTCTCTTCATTAATGGCCTTTAAGCCTCAGACATGACCTAGTGACCAACTAATGATTTTTCCAACATGCTCATGGCTATTTTCGACACTTGCATTCCGTTCTTCCACAAATATAGAGCGTTTCAAAAGAACCGAATGTCTTGTTCCTTTATTTTTGAGTTAATAAAAATTAATCTTTGATAAATACAAATAAAGAAAAAATGCATAAATTTAGTTGTGACTTTTCGTTACGCTATCATGTGTGAAAATACTACTAGATCTGATAAGATACTTTTACCATTTTTCCCGAATGGGAAGCAGGCTTTATTGCTTTGAAAAGAATTCGAAATTTTGGTTCACATTTGGGTTTGAACACTGGACCATTGGCATCGGTGATTGATATCAAACTATTTAACATGTAAAGGAGTTCAAATTCCTTCAATGTCTTTATTTTTGTCTTTTATTTTTGCCTATTTTTTTTCTTTTTTAATTCAGTTTTGAAGTAATGACTTTTATCGAAAAATATCACTTAATTAAAATCTATAAGTCTGTTATGGTGTTCTTACCGAACGAGATGTTAAGAATAAAAATGTATCGAACAGATTTTTTTTTTTTTTATACATGTTCCATCTTTCTATATTCTGTTTGAATATTTCATATCTATCATTTTATCACTTTACACCTGTCAATTGGTTGTCTCCAATTCTGATAATTAGAAAAAGATAACGTACATTTTTATTGCAACATTCATTTAAATATTAAAAAGCTATCCTGTTTGAGTTTATGTATCTAATCTATATGAATAAATGCGAAATTGGAGCATAATTATCCAACGAATTCTGTGATCAAAAAGCCTGAAGGCTACTTTATTGTAATTTATACGCTAAAAAAAAAAAAAAACTCAATGTCTGTATTCTATATTACCTACTTCTCGGGGAGAACACTATTCAGGTTTAACTAATTTGCATATTGATTAAAAAAAAATATATTTCATTAATTAACTGTACTTCATTAGTGTTCTTAAAGGATTGTTTTGATTTTCATGTCAAAAATACTTAGGAATATCGTCTTATATTGTGCAGAAAATTGTTTGAAATTTGCATTTTACTTGGCCTTCAACTAATTGACACCCATTTGTAAAACTTTCCTTAACTATAACAAGCCAATTTATGAAAGAAATGTTCATTTAAAATCTTTGTTTCAAATATTTCAAGTAGTGAATATATCTTGCTTTGCGAAGCGATAGCATATATCTCTCTCTCTCTCTCTCTATATATATATATATATATATATATATATATATATATATATATATGCACATTTCATTGAAAACGACAGACAAGGTGGTTTTATTTAGTTTTTTATACAATTTCTTATGCGATCTAATAATTTTTTCTTTTCTGATGATAAATTATAAAACTGTCCGAATGTTCTTTTTATCCAAGCGCTTTCGGCTATACATTTAGCTATTTTCAAGGATTAAATATTTTAACTGTTTAATAAGAAATAGTTTGTTGTATGTATGTATGTATGTATGTTTTATAAAGTGTTTTCATTTTTCAAAACACGGTTAAGATATTGTGTCCATGTTCATAGTTGATATTATTAAGTGTTTTTTTTTTTTTTTGTTTTTGTTTTTATTAAAAAGGCTAAAAATAATGGAAGCCTTTTTAATAAAAACAAAAACTTAATAATAAGCGCTCGGATAAAACGCAACATTCGGACAGTTTTTATATAATTTATCATCCGAAAAGAAAAAAAAATATTAGATCGCATGAGAAATTGTATAAAAAAAATAAATAAATAAAAGCACCTTGTCTGTCGTTTTCAATGAAATGTGCATGAAAGAAGAATTGCTGCCTAAATACACACACACACACACACATATATATATATATATATATGTTTAAATACTTTTTGAAACATTTTTTAAATACTTTTTGAAACATTTATTGATGCTATGTGATTTACCTTCGGAGTCTGATCTATCTAAGAGGTGAAAGTTTTTCTACATTAAAATAGACATGAAAACAGATATATACGGAATAAGACAAGAAAAGGAAGTCCTTATTTAATATATATTATATTTAAACAATACAATGATTTAAAAAAACTAAAAAAATACTAAGGGGAAATGTTGTTTTAATTTAATCCAATTATCACTGTCTTTAAATAGTTTGAACATCGTTCAGAAATGCAAATAAATAAATTTTGGCCATTGGATCTAATAATTTTCTCTGGTTTAAATACTAAATCTGCCGGAAGCCTTCATTCACTACTTAGGTGCTACTTAATGCATATTTTAGTTAGACAACTCGTGCACATAAAAATTAGCACCCTTTTTATTTACTTTTAATTTCAAGCTAAATTTAAATTCAAGCTAAATTTAATATTCCCAATAAGCAAAATACTTTGTTGTATTTCAAACCGAATTTAAATTGATTGGAATCTTTACCAGTAAAATAAAATCTAAAATCGGCCATAATTCATTTAATTAAAACTCGTTCAAAAATAAAAAATTTACTGAAACTTTATGTAAGGAAGTTGAGCTGATTTAAAGTTTAATTAATCTGATTTGAAACAAATATTACTTTTAATTTAAAATATCTCGGAAAAGCATTTATTTTAAGACGTAGAGGGAGTTTTTGAAGTGTTGAATGATTTATTGAACACCCGATGTAAGGGCACATAACTGGAAAATAAATTAATTAATTAAAAAAATAAGAAGACTAATACAATGCACATTTTTATAAGTAATCTAATATTTCATTCAATTTTAGGTACTTTAGCTTTATATAACCTTACTTACAGAGACGTTACTTGAGGAAATGTTAGAAAATTGCCAGTAAGGTACCTAGCTTATTTTCTGATGCCGTTTATGAACGTCCGTATTTACAAAAAATCTGCACTTTTATTATACATGCATGAAAGATAATTCAAAATTCTTTTTAAAATACTAGGGTCTTTTTCCATTTATGATTAGTAAATACAGATTTAACTTAATCAGTTGAATACTACAAATTTAATACAGAATCTGAAAATATTTAAGTTTATGAATTATTCTAATAAAAACGTGGAAAAAAAAATTAAAGTTTTGTAAAAAAAAAAAAAAAAAAAATGAATTCCTCGAATTTTTTTTCTTGACAATTAGTCTCCGTAATATTTTATTCATTTCTATGAATTTTTGAAAATTGCAATTGAAAGCATTTTTTAATTAAATTTCATTTTACGATTCAGATCAGATTTTCTGTAATTGGGGTTCCGTTTGTACTCTCGCCCCAATTATATATATATATATATATATATATATATAATTCTACGAGGCCTGATCATAGCAAATATAAATATTAAGCGATACGAAAAAGAATTTATCGAATTTTTATATAATTAATGGGTGTGACAGATGTAGAAAAAAAAATTTCTTTACAAATATTTTTTTAAAAAAAAATATTTAAAAAATAGTTTTATTAATTTATAAAGTCTTGAAAGTTTAATTAAAATCTGACAACAATTATCTAATTTTTGCAAGAATTTCGAAAAAAGACGCGATGGTATATTGGCGCGAGAAAAGCAAAATTTTAATTAAATTTTCCCAGGTTCTAAAAAAAGAAAAATAAATAAATAAATAAAAATAATAATAATTTACTAAAATATCCTTTGACCTTCCCTCTTCGTATTAATAATAATGATAAAATTTTATGTTTTGGGATTTTTTTTATAATGTTGTATTTTTGGTTGTATGTATATTTCTTTTTTTAAGTCTGTTTTAGCTTTTTGTAAGGTACCACCACGGACTTAAAAAATGAAGACCGCATTTTGACTAATTTAAAAATGTCTTGGGGTTAAATTTTGTTAGATGCTAGCAACAAGCTAATCCATATTAAAAGAATTTATTTCCATATGTAAATAATGTTTTTTAGTCATTATTAAAAAAAAATGACACAGAGACACCGTTATGGATATAAAAAAAATGTAAACAAATTCAAAAATCTCGTAAAAATCATTTGTACTAGAGATGTCTCAAAGTCAATTAGTAAATTTAATCAACTGGATTTTGTAAAAGACATTACTTTTTACTTAACAAAAATACAATGAAAATAACATTTACAGTAGACTATAATGTCACAGGTCAAAAACAGAAACTATATAATTTCACGCCGAATTAAAAACAAAAATGCACGAAAAATTAAAAAATGAAAGAAATACGGAACGTCAACAATGTAATAATTAAGAAATCGGTATTTAAAGTTTAAAAATAAATTCTTTAACCTTGTAGAACCACTAGTTTAAGAATTTTTAATATGAAATGTGATATAGTTATTAAATTAAGTTTGAATACGTGTCTCTTTGGAAATGTGCTGTTATTAAAAAGATCTATATTTACAGATCAAAAATTTGAAAGCTTATAATCTGCGACACGAATGTATTTTTAAAATATCTTTTTAATATGCAAAAAAAAAAGTTAAAAAAAAAAAATATATTAACACTTTCTCCAAAACTATGGATGCACGATTCAGAAATAATAGGTCACATGTTTTAAGAGTTGTTTCCTTTTGATAGTAAGAATCAAGCCTCGGAAATTGCTTTGCTTTCCTTCCGTTTAGCACGTATCAAATTCTCTGATTGAGCATCATAGTGGCATTTTCAAAATGTTTTTTTTTTTTTTTTTTTTTTTTAGATTCAATTTTAGGGACGAAAACAATGCAATGTCCAACATCGTTAAAAAAAAAAATGCAAAAAAAATCAATAAAATATTAGACTTTTGAAAGTATTGTCAAAAATGCTTGTTGACGTAAAATTTGAAAATATTGTCACTTCTGTCCTTCCGTTTAATAAATTCCCGTGAAGTTAGTTGTCGATACATTGACGTAAACATCAATTCACCCACCCTCCCAAAACAAA